CTTGTCCGGATTCAGCCTCAGCCCATTTTCCTGCATCCATTGCAGTACGGCCTCCAGGCAGCCCTGGAGTGACAGAACGGCATCACCTAAAGCTGGTAAAAAGGAGATGCAGAGCTGGGTGTCATCAGCATATTGATGACAGGTTGCCCCACACCCCCTGATGACCCCACCCAGTGGCCTCATATAGATGTTGAATAGCATTGGGGAGATAATTGACCCCTGTGGGACCCCACAATTGAGACTCCACGGGGCCAAAACAAGTTGATTCTGACTGACGCTTTTCAGAGTTTCTAGGTAATGAATACTCAGAAGTGGTTTACTGTTCCTTGCTTCTCGAAGCATCCTGGGAGTGCGCAGCTTTGCCCAAGGACACCCAGGCTGGCTCTTCTCCCAGGAGGCCCAGTGGGGAATCAAACTCTCAACCTCTGGCTCCACAGCTGGTGACCCAAACCACTGAGCTATCCAGCCAACTTTTCTCTTTTATAGCAAGGGCTAAATTTCGTTCCTTTAGAAGAAGAAAGCATTCTCTTAAAAATACTCATTGAAGACAAAGAGTTCATGAGTTCCAAGGAAAGCACGTGTTCTTTGAATAATTGCTTTCTCTCAATGGCTCTTTTCAGGTGAATTTACAGAGAAGGAGAAGGAGCTCAGCAGGACAATCATGAAATACTGGGGCAACTTTGCCTACAATGGGTGAGATCCTTGGTTAGGCTTTGAAAAATTGACTGTTTTAGTTTTAACGGAGGTCGACACATAGAGCAAGAACTAAATTCTGCATTCCAATATCTTCCAGAAACCCAAATGGCAAAGGATTGGTGGAATGGCCGCGCTATGATATGAATGAAGAGTATTTGGAATTAAACTTGGTGCAAAAGAAAGCCAGAAAACTGAAAAACAACAAGGTTGATTTCTGGTTAAAAACCTTGCCTGAAAAAATGAAAAAAATTATCAAAGAACCGCAAATACACGTGGACCTGTAACTGCCAAATAACAGTTTCCTGGTTGTTTGCCTTGCAGCACATTCCTAGAGGGTATGCTTTCTGTGTGGAAAACTGATTTGTCACAAAAGAAGGCTTAATTTCTGTCACTCTTGGTAAAGTTGAAACGTCCGGTGAATCAGAAAGGAAAAATGATCAGCGGGGTGGATGGTGGGGAGGTTGCAGCCTTGGGATTGCCTATCAGTGAATGCTGCACAGGAGTATTATTAGGAAAGGAAAGCAAGCTTGCAGAACCTCCATGATTAATTCAGTGCATGCACTTACAGAAACGATTCAAATAAAAGGCACTTTTGTCCAAGAGGCGCCCTCCTCTTTTCTCGTCCATGACGCAATGCGCCTCTTCTAAAACTGGGCTCTCTCTGACATATGCAGACATAAATGCTTCCCTTCTCCTGGTTCACTGGTTTGGTCATTCAAATTAGTAAGTTCTGTAGACCAGGGCCCCCCAACCATTTTCACCCTGGGGACCGGCTGAGAGTGCGTGCATGTGCAAATCAGCTGTGTGGGGACCGCCTGAGCATGCGCAAATCAGCTGTGCGGGGATGAGTGTGTGCGGGGAGGGCAGGAGGCCTGTCTCCGTAGCCCAGTCTGGCTCAGTCTATGGACCAGCGCCAGGGGGTTGGGGACCTCTGCTGCAGACTTCCATAAAATCTAGAAAGACTTGAAACTTGGACAGCCCTATCTAATAAGATGCAATTCAGTGGTGGGAAAAGTAAGGTCCTGCACTTAGGCAGAAGAAACCAGATACACAGGTCCAGGATAAGTGCTGCCTGGCTCAAGAGGAGTACCCATGAGAGGGACGAGTCAGCAGTGTGCTGCCAAGAAAGCCAACACAGCCCTAAGGCTGCATCAACAGGGAGATAGCATCAAGATCACAGGAAGTGATTGTACCACTCTGTACTGTGCTGGTGAGGTTTTGTCCAGTTCTGGTCACCACAATACAAAGAAAGATGCTGAGGCCCTGGAAGGGGGTGCACAGAAGAGCAACAAAGATGATAAGCGGACTGGGGGCTAAATCTGATGAAGAACGACTCAAAGAACGAGGTATCTTTAGTTCAACAAAGAGAAGACCGAAGGGAGACATGATAGCCATCTTCCAATATCTGAAGGGTTGCCCCAGGGAAGAGGGCATCGATGGATTCTCCCCTTTACCTGAGGGTAGGACAAGAACCCATGGGTGGAAACCCGTCAGAGGGAGATCTAACCTGGAAACGAGGAATTTCTGGATGGTGGGAACCAGCAGGCAGTGGAACAACCTCCCGATGTTCTGGGTCCCTCATCTCTGGAGGTTTTCAAGAAAAGATTGGACAGCCATCTGTCTGGGATAGAAGTTAACCAATTACACTGAATTTGCCATACCTTGGGCCAGGCTCACCTAAAAAGGTGGTAATGCGAGGAAAAACGGGAGGGAGTAGGAAATGAGGAAAACTGAAGATGAGATGGATTGACTCAATGAAATAAACCATGGCGCCGAGTTTGCCAGGCCTCAGAACAGCTGTTAATGATTTGTTGTTGTTTAGTCGTGTCCGACTCTTCGTGACCCCATGGACCAGAGCATGCCAAGCCCTCCTGTCTTTCACGGCCTCCCGGATTTGGGTCAAATTCATGTTGGTCACTTCGGTGACCCTGTCCAGCCATCTCGTCCTCTGTCGTCCCCTTC